GCAACCAATGCCGACGATTGGTGGCTTGAAATATTCACAATTTATTTTCTCAAAAGAGTCCAATTGATATTATTTAAAGCGCATTTGAGAGATGGTTTGTGCTTTATGTTCCAATATGTCCTATCATATTTTTTGTCCATTATTGCGAAGAAGGCCCGTAAATATACCTTTTCAAGAACTCGCATCATTTTGAATGTATCCAAGTTTCCGGAACCGTAGATTTTATTAATTGGTAATGCTACAATATTTTTTCCTTCGGTTCTATTAATTTTCTTCTAAATAGTATATTCTTTATACAACACATTAATAACGGTTATCTTTTGTAAAATATATTTTCAGTCAAACCTGACAGGTGCTATTTTAATTAAGTTTCCTGACTTAAAACAACTGGACAATAATATTAAAATTATACTAGTGTTGACGACGAAAAATATTACTTAGATGATTGGGAGAGGATTTGCAGAAACTGCGATGAGAAGTTCTGTACGCATCTCTGGGTTCTCGGTAGACGAGAAGATACTGAAAAGACGACACACAACTTAACAAGATTAGCACCTTGCCGTAAGAATAATTAAGTATTGAAGCAATTACCATGGCTACCTTTGTCTGGACGAAAATAAACGTTCTCCCTACAGATTCTATTTCTAATTCAAGCTTTCTACTATTTTTTGCCGCGTAACCAAGCGCTGGTTCACTGACACTACATAACGTTCTGGGGTGCCAATGCCTGTCAACGTACCAAACCAACTTTCAATGCGTCTAATACGCGTATTATTTAGCTTCTCTGTACGATTGCTACAAAACTGTTCGCGACCCCAGATTCTCAAACAATGCGATCGCGTCACGTCTTTTCTTCTTACATACCTCAAAGAAATGCCAAACTGAATGAGCTCCAAGCGTGGCACCAAATTTGAATTTGGCTGCTTATGTGCCAACAACTAATATTTTAAAAATGCTAACGAAATAAGTTTTATTTATAACTATTACCAAGTACGTTGTTTCACGTTATCTGTTAAATAGATTTATAGAGATTCAGACAACAAAGAAAAAAAATACACTCGATTCGTGGCCATTGTTTACGGTACTGCATCGTCTTCCACCTAACAGAATAAATGCTAGCCGGAAACCAACGTTCAGAGCTGCTGGCAGGGCAGCGGCACCCATACCTAAGACTACCCGATCCACGAAGCTTCAATTGCCAATTCAAGCGTTATTGAAGGAACCTACTTCAAGTGAAACGTTAATTTGTGCTCGGATAGCTTTGTGGCGACCTTCCTGCAACGTGTTATCAGTATGTGATACTACAAGATTGGTGAAACTCATTAATGCATAACATGAGGATTGGCTTTACAAGGGTATCAACTGTCACTGCAGTTCTCTGACCAGGAGTTTCTAGTGTTCGAATCCCGACGGTGGCAGGATTTTCGACACAAGCCAGATTTTCTGTGGCTGTCCGGATGAAAATTCTACCTGCCGGTTGCTCTGTTCGGTAGTTTTTCCGTAGTTCTCCGGAGTTTCTCCGATCAATACTAGGCAAATGTCCGGGCAGTGCCCTACCAAACGGGCCAGAGACCGCGCGCAATATTTCCTTCCTTTTCCATCTCTCATCCTCACTTCTTATACACACTTACATGCACCACAGTACCACACATGCCGGGAGACCGGTCGAGAGCTTAGAGCTTGTCCCAGCTGGGGAGGTGCCCGTCCTCGCTGGTGGGAGATACCTGTTTGGGAAAACCCCGCTAGCCGATGGTAGGTCGGCGCCGGATCACGCCATACAGCGGAGATACATAAGATCACAGATATCTCCCGAAGAAAAAAGATGCACTACATTTACCTGACTAATCAACTTAACAGTTGACGCGTGCAGAATCACTAGTAATCAATCAACCAATCAATCCTATTTTTGCCCGCCTTCGTCCCGGTTCGGAGGCACAGTGCTGCGGCGCCGCGGGCGCGCACGTGCTGCTCCCGGAGGCGCTTCGCCCGCAGGCGGGTGGACGGCGAAGTACAAGACGCGCCCTAATTAGGGGAGCGCTTTACAACGACGGAGATGAGGCGCTTAAGTTCTCGGTCGCCCACGAGGGATTTGAAAATGCTGCGCGTTTCTCAGCGGAATCTGTTTAAAAAATAAAAAGCTGATGTTTTGAAAGATAATATCTTTTTTTTGTTTTTGTTTTACCGAGCTGATTCACCGAGCTTTTGATGGCGATTTATTAAGGTCTGAGTGTTCCAGGTAATATGATAATATACTTGACCTTTGCGTTCCCTAGTTTGGAAGCTTTTGGAATGAGGATTTGCCGAAGAACGAGTTGTGTGGAAAAAATTGCAGGGTACATGATGGAACGAGAGAGTGCAAGGGAGAATTCACAAATTAGAATCTAAAGATAAAAGTGGAAGCGATTGCGGCAGTGTCTTCGACGTTCACAATGTTTCTTCATAGAGGCTTCACGGAAAGAGCACATGAAGAGATGGGACAGAATAACTAGCGGTAACACATCCAAAAAATACAAAATCGGATACGATGTAGAGAATTCGAATTTTTTGGGCCAGATAGATTGGAGGCTTCCAATAAATCATCCTGCCAACTCGGCGATAACCTCAATAGTTGCTGGTTAATTTACATAATTTTATAAGAGACGTGGGAGATTAATACGTATAAAGAATACTATTTGTAATCCTGTCAAACTATTACGTTCATGATGATACATTGAAAAAAATTGTCAAAAAAATTTCAGATGTTTCTTACAATACTCTTTTACTTATGGCAATGTTTCGTACGAATTATTTTCCACCGGTAACAAACATTCTGAATGTCGGAAAATATTAAATATTTATCTCATTCAGAATGTCTGAATTAAAAAAATACAAGATAAAATCTGCTATAGAATAACAACACACGCAATATAATGACATTGCATTACCACACACTCAACATCTTTCCGACATTAGGAATGTTAAAAATCAATAGGGATAAAAAAAACATGTTTCATTACCAAACCTAGGATGGATTTGAATCAGTCCCTTCCTTAGCTTTTAGAAAAGCTCGTCTTCACAAGCGAATGGCACAAACGAATTACGCGATAAACAAAGATTACGCTCCTCGTAATGACGTCAGCCTTAAGGAATTAAGATATCTCGCATGGAAGGCCCGCACGCAAAGCAACCGACTGAAAGAGAAGCAGAAAAAAAGGAAGAGGCCTCCCTGAAGGAGGTCGGGGTAATCAGCAGAAGCACACAAAAAACAACTAATTAGACGGCTTAATTCGGATGAACGGCCCGCGTCTATATCAGCGAGAGCGCCGGTGGCAGGTGATGGCGGTGGCGATGGCGACATTGGAATGGTAGTGACGATGGTAGTTGCGTTGGTTGTTGCTGTGGTGGAGTACAGTTGTGATGGTGGTGGTAGTGGTGGTGGTAGTGGTGGTGGTGGTGGTAGTGGTGGTGGTAGTGGTAGTGGAGGTGGTAGTAGTGGAGGTGGTAGTAGTGGAGGTGGTACTAGTGGAGGTGGTAGTAGTGGAGGTGGTAGTGGTGGATATGGTGGTGGTGGTGGTGATGGTGGTGGAGGTGGTGGTGGTAGTAGTGGTGATGGCGGCGGTGCGGTGGCAGTAGTAGTGTCAATGATAGTGGTGATGATGGGATGGATAGATACCGGTGATGGTGAGTGGTGGCAGCGTTGGAGATGATGGTGGTGACGTTGGTGATGGCTGATTATAAAGTCGCGGCGGTGGTGGTCGTCACAACCGAGACAACGCTGGCGGTAGCTGTGGCGCGGCGGGAGAGGCAGCGGGGGTGGTGGTGGTGGTGGTGAAGGAGGCAAGGCAAGGTTGGCGGCGGCTGCGTTGGTGGCGGTGGCGAACCCCGGGCCGGGTGCCGCCGTCCACGGCAGTCGCCGGCGGCGCGACCCCAGGCGCATGCGCCTAATCTCCGGCGCTATTAGGCGAGAAGGTGCGGCGCCAAGCCACCGGTGGCGGCAGGAGCAGCAACAACAGCGCTTCCTAGAACCCCTTTCAGTTTTCCCCTCTCCAGTAACCCTGGACAGGCGGGAATTTATTCGGTATTAGGGGTACATTTTTTTTTGTTGCAGCCGATTAGGCTTTCACAACTTATTCAGGCCCATCCTAGACAAACTACTTAAATTTAAAATTATTCTTAATTAACAGTATTTTACAATGGCCGCTTTGGACGATTATTGGTTAATGTAGACCGAGTTTTGTTTGTCTAGAAGTGCTTAAAATTGATCATGCTTCTTCAATTTCCATTCACGCTCACGTTCACCCTTATTCTATATTAAGAAATACATTCACTCATACATGCACACAACACTGCACTGAACACTATTTACATATCGCTGTTCGCCACGGTGCCAACTCTAGCGTACGTGGCGCCACGACATTCTCGTCTCCAGGGAGCAACGTTCTTAGTCAATTGCGTTTTTGTGGCTCCCGTGCTCTTTCCGGAACTTCTAGGACCTTGATCGCAGGATTTTCCCTCTTCAAGAGTTTTGGCCTCATCGTACCACACGGAACGGTATATAGCCGTTTCATTCGTACCGCTTATCCGACAGGGAAAACACGAGAGTAGATGGCCACTTCTTTGTGGGTAAAACTGTCACGAACTCAATAGCTTGATCATTCGATTAAGAGTATAATAAAACATTTTCTAGGTTTTAAATTTATAAAAGTCGAATTCGGAGTAATATTTCCCCAGATAACGTCAAGTCCCTTACGGTACGGAAACGCGCAGTTATTATTGCTTTCATAGAATAAAAATGAAACGAAATGATAAAGTGTTGACACGAAAGAAGTGTCAGTACTAAAGAAGACAAAAAATTGCAACGTATGTATAAGTACGTTGTATACTTGATCTGAAACAGTTTCAAAATTGGTGGTAGCTGTAAATGCAAAACTTTTCATATAAACTTTTTAAATTAATACTCCATGCAATGCATTATTTTCTGCTACATACGAGTTTTTTAAGGCCGGTGCCTCTGAACTTACCTGCAGGTAGGGCGGCGGCGTCGCAGGCACTACAGAGCCCAGAAAGCCCTGTAGGAACTCGCGCACTAGCTCCCAGCAGCTGCTTGCCACCAGGCACGGACGATACTCCACCTGTGGCACAAGGAGAAGTTTCCATTGCACTTGTGTTACGTGTACATTACATAGGTGCACGACTTATTTTATAAAACTTATACCACTCCACCAAACCATCACAACTATAACTGGAGAGGCGTAACTGTCACTGAGTGATTTAGGCAGGTTTTCTGGAGGTTCTCCCATGTCATTTCTATATTTCTACATTATAATTCACCTCACGATCATTATCGCTATCATCTACTCATTTGATCTTCATTCATTTACCTGGATCACCCCAGCAATTCGAATGTCCTCAGCCTCAATAAGCACGACAATACGAAATTCATAAACACAGTGGTACTTATATAGTCTTACATAGAACCCCGAGTGTAAGTTGTTTAAAAATTATAAAATGTGAATTCCTTAAATAGAAAATAACACATGATCATGGTATGTTACTTTAAGGTTGTTATGTTGACGTTTCGATAACCATGTGGACTCCTTCAAGGCTAGAATGCAAAAGACCACGTCATAATGGTTGAAACTAGGGCATTTCACCCGTCAACGCGGCGTTACCTGCGCAGCCAAAAGCATTTGCTTCACTAGCCTCGACATCCACGACTGCCAATATACACAGACTTAAGAATTCAATACAACGTAAATAAAGAAAAAAAAACTGAAGATCTCCTCAACATGGTGTGACAGGAGGAATAAGCAATATGTTGACCAATTTAATCAAAAGACAATGAAAACTTCTTCCAGATCCATTCGGAAAGCCACCTCTTCTGAGTCCGTCCGGAGAAAGAACATGGAGGAATTATTTCACAAACAAATGGAGATAAAGTAGTAGACCCCTAACTGAGTGCGGTGTACTGGAACTAAGAATCATTTCATCGCACTTTTGAATTATGACTTCGAGGGTGGAGATCTTAAGCTTTCGACCGAACAATCTATTTTATGACAGACTTAAATACTTATGCAACTTAATTTGTAATCATTAATTAATAATCTAACTGTTTTTCAACTTGTATTTGAATTATGTTGGAATCTTTATCATATGATGTCGGACGAACGAATGAAAATGAGATGTAGAAAAGGAAATTGTCCACCTTTTGCAACCCAATTAAAAAGTTTATTACTTCATATATTTCGTTAGGTCCGAAATTACTTTTCCATAATGAACAAAACGAAACAGTTGCATATTTGTACAACAGACTGAAGAGAAGAAATTAATTCAAAATGGCATATTATGAAAAAACACCAAGTAAAATTAGCATTTTATGGAAACCTTAATTTGCAAGAAAACTCAAATTATTCTCGCATTACCTTTTCCTTATTAAAAGCAGTTTTTATACGTACACACTCGGTGGCGTAGCAGTCAGAGTGCTCGCATTTCAAGGTGGAAGTCGGAGTAGGCGGTGGGCTAATCCACGAAAATGCAAGAAGAAGCGAAGAAGATCCGTGATATACAACTTAATATTGCACCGGGTTGATCGATAAATATAGAAAAGAATGACGATAACGATACCTTGAGAACTAGGTCCCGGAAACTACTGGAAAGGTGTCCAGGGGAACAAGCGTCATTTCGGTGAAAAGAGAGTTACATTCAGGAATGGACACATGTAGCATACAAAATGTTATCTCTCTCATATGGAATCTAGAGACTTCCCAAAATATGTGTCTTGTTTAGAAACCAATACGAACAAGTGTCACAAGTACCCGTACGAGTTTGCTCAACTTCATCGTGCGATTGCTCAAAACTATGAAATCGTCACTCGTACAGCTTAGTGTCACTCTTCTTGCTCGCTGATGCATATCAGCATGCATAACGGACACACGTTCAAACTAACGGACGGACGTTGTAACGTAGCAGACCATAGCTCTCGTTCTTTCAATGGGAGACAGTCCCGCTTCGACAGGAAACCCATCAGCAAGGGGCCACGTCCACTAAATCAAATGCCAATAGTGGAGAACGGTCCTTCTTTTTGGATACAAAGGCCAACCTCTTGACTTCCTCTGAAGACGGAAGGACAGTCCTTTCTTCCTATGTACCCCTTCAGCGTGGGTGGGTTACGAGCAACAGACGAAGGCATCACGCGACTGGCCAGGGAGGGCAGTCGAGAACAGGAACGCGTTGCGTTGCGGTCATTCTTGAAAAAGATAGCGAAGACGGCGGCCGCTGACCAGTCGAGGGTCGCGCGTACTTGCGACAACACACGGTACATTCACACCAGGCGAATGAAATTCTATAAATGCGCTGTACTTAAAACCACGCTATCCTAGTACATTATTTGCAAATAAATGTAGTTATGAAATCCTGTCTCTTTTGTTATGGGATCTTATTTTATCACGACGCTACGACGCATGCTCATTTGCCGCTATGTGCACAACACGATCTTGCTGGCTCATAATTACCAGAGCGAAGTCCAAGTCCAAATCCAGCCACCCGGTTAAAAGACCCTGATGAAGTGTCCGCTTCCGGGCCCACACAGCCAACCCCAGCCTGCGGGGTATCTTCACTCCCCCTCGTTTAAGGGCGAGCAGCGCCCGCGCTCGCGGATCGCAGGCTACCCGCATAGAAAGTTTAAAGATAAGGGTGTTTCGAAATTTTGAAAAAGTAAAAGTTGGCGGAGGAGGAGAAGCGATGTAGGAGCCGCTCACAAAGGCGCGGTTTCCTCGATAAAACCCCTCGCGCCCCGACGCAGGGCGGAGCAGGGGCGGGGCGGGGAGGGGCGGGGAGAGCGGGGCGGTCCGCTACGAGGGGAGTCGACACGCACAGAGCAAGGGCGCTGGGGATCGGATCTCCATTTACAACGGACTCTTTTTTCATACGAGGGGAACCAGAAAATGTTCCAATTATACTAAATTCAAAGAAAGCAGCCCACGTATAATTATGAAAATTGTCTCGTCAAAAGAGCATTTAGCTAGAAACAACATAAAGTTACCCCTCTTGAGATTTGATGAAACAAAATCAGTTCATTGTCTTCTGTATGGATGTGAAAGTTCGGTATTAAAAGGGGACTAGAGACTAGCGAAATGAGGATGAACACGGTGGTGTCAGGTTGCGGGAGAATATCTTTATGTACAAAAGACTTCTTTTAATTCGCACAAGGAAACTCAAATCAAACTGAACTTCACTGAGCAAAATACTCAATTAAAAATAAAAATTCGAAAAAACAAGAAAATAAAAAAAAAACCTAAATTCATATTGACGAATTTGGAATTATTTCCTTACATGAAGGCTTCAGGTCCCGAATACAACATCCAAAATATTAATTATAAGAAGGATTTTGCCACTGAATTTGAATAAGTAAAATACGTATTTGAAAGCAAAAATGACTAAAAGTAGGTACAACACTTATTTACGAATTTGGAATCTTTTTCATGAAATAAAGGCTTCCTGGCCTCGAATGCAACATCCCCAACCTTAATTACAGGTCGGATTTAACTTCAAGAATATGCAACATCGTGTCTGGCATGTTTCCGCTTCTCCTAGCTCTCCGCCTCCAAGTTGGGGAAGCTTTCCTGCAGGTCCACTCCGGTGAACAACTTGGATTCTGCTTGAAACACGTGCCGACATAATCGTGTCGTAACTCGACAGAGGAGATACATCCATGTTCTAGTAACTTCTTGCCAATATTGGTCGGGGAAGTAGACATGCAATAAAAGTTCACAGTATTTGGACACTACTTGCTTCTTATTTTTTATTCGAAGAATCCAGAACTGATAGAAACCATGCAAGAAGTGAATCTAGAAGAGCTATGAATATGAAAGTACATATTTTCATATTCCAATGGTATCGATTCAGAAATTAGTACTAACGTGCTGTGAGTCTCATCTAAAGCGGAGCCGCATACAGTTTAGCGAATTACGAAGGAAGTTTCAGATGTAAATATTATCCAATTTATGGAGTTATAAGACAATTAACTTGGCTGATTTCCAAAAAGCCAATACGTACATCTCACTATTATACTCCAGTTTTTAATTGGAACTTCTGGGGTACGTCGCAAATATTCAAGCAATTTCAAATTCAAATAAACCACCTAACGAAAATTTTATTAAAAATATTAGCTCAACAGATTCACATTTGCGATATCTGTGATTATTAATAGCTTTATAATATTAGATTTTATTATTATTTATATAAGTATAGTAGCTTTTATTATTTTTATGTGTCATCATGACTGAAAACTATTTACTTAAATACACCCATAATAAAAATAAATATAAAAATTATTATTCTTCGTATTTATGTCGAAAAATATAAATTTTGGCATATTCTTACACTTCAGAATATGTATTATAAACTTCTCGGGCACGTAGCGTGATCGAAAATGAAAACTTTTGCCAAAACTTTTATATATTGGGAAATTTTATGTAACGGAGTTCACACAATTTACACTTTACCCTGATTGTTAGGCATTTCATTGTTAGGCAACCCATATGCGCTCGGCAGGTACATGAAATATCCCTGATTGCGACAGAACGACACTTGCCGAAAACATGTGCACCATAATGTGCCTAACAATTAAAATGTCACATTATGCTCTTTTAGATCGAAGTTACGCAGGTGCGGCAGTGTCAAGCTTGCCTCAATATCGGCATTGCAAACAACTTTTCTACGACAATATTTTTTTATCAGTCATGTTTCAAAGAGTTTATTTTGCTCACAAGCTAAAATTTCTTCAAAGTTGATAGGAACAGTTCACAATTTTACTGAATTTCAATGTTATTCAATTTGAAATATATATTATATATATATATATATATATATATAATATATATATAGTATATATATATAATACACACACACACACCCACACTTGGATTTTTGTTATATGAAGGTGAAGAAAAATTCGAATTAAACGAGGGGTTAAAGACGAGGGCAAGTGCCACCTGGGGATACAGACGGGAGGACGGAAAAATGGGCATGGTCGAAGAGCATGGAACAATACGGTGTGAATAAGGACACTGGTAGCTGTGCTTGAGAGGGGGGAAAATGAGCGATCGGGATGGGGAGGATGAGGATTAAGAGA